GCCCTGCTCCATCACCTCCACCTCCCCCTCCCCCTCCCCCGGGCCCTGCGCCATCACCTCTGTCATCACCGTCGCCTCTATCATCGCCTCTGTCGTCAGCGTCACCTCTATCATCACCCATGGAGGCATGTGTTCCCGACGCAAAGAARTCGTCGTCGTCACTGGATGTGCTGTCGAACAAGAAGTCACCCTCGTCCCAACGCATGCGGGCCCTGCAAATGCCACCATCCGTCCGCTGTCGCCGAGTTCGAGGAGCGGAATCCACATCGCCACGTGTACGTCCTCTGACACCTGCTCGTCCACGGCCGCCACGTCCCAGACCACCAGCCCTGCGTCAACTCCTGTCCGACTCCGCCACCCGACGCTCGGCTCCCATGCGGGAAATGGCGCGCATCCTCTCTCTGGCGAGGCTCAACTCCTCCTCGGTCACCTTCGCTAGAACACCGGTGCCTCTRACGAGCTGCTGGTCCACGGCTGCCTCGTCCTCCACGGCCTGCCAATAATGCACCCATTTCCCGAAGACGTCGGGCCTCTGTCCAACACCATCGTCGCACAACGAAGGTCGATCGAGTAGCTTGAGGTTCCAGTGGCACCGCACAAGCTTCTCAGCCCGGGGAACCTCCAACCTGTTGCGAGACTTCGAATGAATGAAGCTCCAACGAGACCACGCTCTCTCGCACGGTGAGGCGGTCGCCCATATACGAAGGATCCTGCCTGCAAACACGGCGTGTGAGGGAACTTCGCCTTCTTTGAGGACCAAAAACTGGCAGGGTGATCAAAGATATCCGCAGCTCGCCGCATGGTGAGCTCATCGAAAGGGGGCTCCCTCGTGTGGAGCTTGGCGACCGCTCGTTGGACCTCCCGGTGCTGCGGCGAATCCTCCGGGTAGCCGAACTGGACAAGGGCCTCGACCAAGGCCTGTTGCACCTCCGCATCGTCACAAAGCGTCACGTCCCGAAACTCTGGATCTAGCAGCATGATTGTCGTGTGGGCGGGGGTCTTGAACATGGTGCGCCGCCTGTGGAACACCTCCACAATAGCGTCCTGCTGCTCCCGATCAATGTCACGACATGTGGATAAACAAGATGCAATCATTTCCTCGTAACGTCGCAGAATCTTGCTGATCTGGCGTGTGTCGCTGTCCACCAACTTCAGCATGCCCATGATGGGATCTAGCATCTTGCACAGAGCTCTCAAATCCTCCCACCATGGAGGGGAGCCGATACATGCAGTGACCTCCGCTGCATCCTTGCGGATCTTGCTGGTCGACCAAACGGTCTCGCGCCAGCGATCGTCAGCCACAACATCTGTCAACGCGGACCGCAGTGCCACCAGCCTCTCCATCATGATGATGTTCGTGCCGAAACAAGTCTCCGCCGGTAGCAGAAGAGTCTTCGTCGAGTGCGACTCAAGAACCTCTCTCGCATGTCCATGGCGCTTGAAGAACCTTGTAACCAGCCTCGCTTGAGAAATGCGGGAAGCCACCCAATCAATCCCGCCGATGTCCTCGAGAATGAGATCCATGATGTGGGCGACGCAAGGAATCCAGAAGATATGTTTCACGCTCTCATCTTTTTGGAATACCTCCATCGCCGCGACATTCACCCCAGCGGAGTCCGTCACGAACGCCGTGATGTTGCTCAATTGAACGTCMATGGACTTCACCCTTTTCAACCATGCGTTCGCGAGGGCACTGGCGTCCTTTTTGCCACGCATGACGTCGGTGGACACATACACCACCCCGATCTCTGTACCAACAAGGTAGTTGCACAACGTCTGACCACGGATGTTGGTCCAACCATCGGTCATGATTGTGCAACCGGTCTCTCTCGACGTGTCAAGCACCGGCCGAACACACTTCTGGACCTCACCATCCAGCTTGTCCAAAAGGGTCGTGCGCAGCATGTGGTACGAGGGAAGTCTAGGCGCGGGCGCCCCTGGAACCCCCGGCGGGATTATCATCGTGAACATGCGTTTGAAGCTTTCAAGCTTCGTGCTGTTGAACGGCATCCCGCTCTCGACGATGAACCGCATGATTTGCAGATGCCATGCGCGCTCCAAAGGGTCCGAATAATATGACGTGACGGCTTGCTGCCTGTAAGTGCCCCGACATCGTTCCGTCGTAGCTCTCCCGCCGAGGACCCTAGCATCCAACAACCCGCCAGGGCTCACAGGTGTCGCGCTCTGGGCGACTGCATGGTCACGAATGCGCTGCAAAGGGTCTAACGTTCCGGTCAATACGGGTGGAGGCTGTGAGGCAGACCGACCACCGCCCGTGGTTGTCGGAACAGGGGTCGGCGATGAATCGGACACCGGAGCGGGGACCTCCTCGGCAGGCACCCCATGATCCACCTGTTCCCCGAAACGAGGCACGGAAGCAGAATGTCGAGCATCTGCAGGTGCGTGTGACGGATCCGGGTGGGCGGTTCCGTTAGCGTGGTGGACCATTGGACGCTGCGCCGCTCTCAACGGTGGTGGTGGCAGCCAAGGGTGCTCCGACGAACTGCGGGGTGATGTGCCAGGTGCCACCGCAGTACCACCCCGTGCGGCATCTGACTGCATAGCACTCCTGAAAACAGGGGCGAGCGCGGGCGCTGAAATGCCGGCACTCCCCCCCCACCTGCGACTCTCAATAAATGCACGTGTGCTCTCCTCGTCAAATGCCGCAGAGCCCACACCATCCCTCAGAGGCGGGGGCTCGTTGGCTGGCGTGGAACGACCAACTCCCACATCGCGAGCACCTCGTGTCCCAGCCAGCGGCACAGACGGCGGTGTTGCCGGTCGTGTTGCAACTGTTGTTGCAGGACGCAGTACCTTGACTCGAATGGTCGGAGCCCCAGAATTGGGCGATGCGACGGCTCCAGAAGGGGCGGTGGGAGGAACCAGCGGCGACACTGCGTCCTCGGGGAATCGAAGAGGTGGCCACTGCAAGCTCGGATGACCTGGCAAGTGGCTCTGCAATGTTTCTATGGCCGACGCGAACTCCTTTGGACATTTTGTCATGTCCTTCGACCAGATCGCATTCCACACAGCAGGAGTGGCTGCCTCTTATCGGAACTTCTCGCTCTTCGAGAAGTGCTCCTTGGCGGCTTTAGCGCCCCCACAAATCGAACGCCCGCACAACTTGCACAGGCATCGACGACCGCTCTTCCTGCCCGCCGCCGTCGACCCATCCAAATAACGCCCTCTGGCCACAAAATGCCACACCAGGTCGTCCCGCTTGCCGTCGACTGTCGGGTCGACCTTGAACGGCGAGTCAAACGTCTTCGTGTTATGACCTTGTCGGGTGGTCGTGAGCGAGTCTATCGGATCCTTCCCCCGGTCCTGCGACATGATGAAAGTCGCCAACCGCGAAAAAAAAAGACGATGTTGGAACCCTCTGAGAATGTTGCCAACTCGCAACAGAGATCGAAGTCGACGTCAGAATGGCAAAGAAATGCTATGAAACAGGCAAAAACGATGAACGCAAAGTGCAGAACACCTGGACATCAGAGGGAAAACACAAAACGACATGAAACAAAAAAAACAAACAACCAAAGAACAACAAAAAAAACTYAGAACTCGGAGGCAAAAAAAAAAAAACGCCGATGTTCTCTGTCCCTTGTCAAAAAAACGACAATGTTCTCCGCAAGGCAACCGTTCCACAGGCGGAACTTCCGATTCCAGGAGGGCGATCCCACTAGCCACGTATGTGGAACAGTGTGACTGGTGTGGGACGGCTRSGGGACARGCGGGTGGTAGAGGGAAAGAGGGAAAATAAACGAAAAAAAAAAGGGCAAGATTAACTCCACACACCGTTTGCTAACTCCACACACCAACAAAAGAGAGAGAGAGAGAGAGAGAGAGAGAGGCCACCAGCTTCCTGCCCCAAGGCTGAAAAGACCACCCTAAGGCTATCAGGCCACCCCGGGCTATCAGGCCACCCTAAGGCTATCAAGCCACCCTAAGGCTGAAAAGGCTAT